AATTGGAGGAGTTATAACGCAAAACAACGTCTCTGGTCAATCAGTTGTATGGAAGCTAGATGTTTTAGTGAACCGATTTCGATGATTTTATGGAATAGTTAAGATAATATTAAAAAACGGCTATGTGCAAAATTTTAGTAAAATATCTTCAAAACTCCGGGACTTTTTTATAAAATAGTTAAAATTTAAGCAAAGTTTCAAGTACCGCTATCTCGAAAAGTGGAGCCAATAGGGTAAAACTGAGGACGCCATTGAATTTAAAAGGCTCCAATTAAGTAAGAGCGACTATCAGAACATTTGTCGAAAAAAAGTTGCTTTGATACCACTCTCGAAATATTCTGACTAAAAGAAGGAGCATCATTAAAATTAGTAAATCATGGTTTTTACACACTTCTAGAGAAAATTTTTTTGAAGCATTTTACAGGTATATTAAATTTTGTAAGGACTAGGAGTTATAGAAAGATTTAGATCGTTTCGACGTATTTTCCAAATGTGCCTTCAATTAAGGTGGTTTTGGAATAAAAATTACGGTCAAGATCACAGAATATTTTATCTTTAAAAGTTAGCTTATTCTGAAAGCACACCTCTTGCTAAGGTATAAAATTATTCGTAATTGTTTGTAGAATGCAATACATACTTAAAAAGTTCTTAAAATTAAATGCTTCAAAACCTATACGCGATAAACCGAAAATTTTGAAAATTGTGAAATGTGGAGTTACAGACTTTGAGTTACTGGTCATTTCGTTATTTTTTAATGCACACTTTTCTTCGTACTACATATGAAGTGTACACATAAGTGCTAAATGCCCATTTAATTTCAAATCAGAATATGGTGTGCTTCAAAAGTTATGACATAATTAATTGTGCCTCTCTTAAAAATTACATAAAAAATTCACTTGTTTTCATAATTTTTTTTAATTTAAACACCTATAATTCAAAAGTTATGCAGCAAATTGATCCAATTTTTTTTTTTAGGCTTCATGTATACGTCGTCAATGAATTATATCCAAAAGCAACCAGCTTGATTTAGTTTACAACAGTGAAAATAAAGCTAAATAACACAAAGGCTGCTGTGTGACATTATAATAGTGCCAACTAGTTTTTACTTCTAGAAATGTTTCTGGCGAACATTGAACGTTCACTTTCCTTTTTTCTTACATGGAGGCAACATGAATTTCTGTTTGTTTACAAATAAAACATAAACAAAGTCAGCTGGTGTGTCTTCTTCTTCCGGTTTTTGCAAGTGATGGGTAATTTCCTGTTCCTTTACTTTTTGTTTTTTCTTCTCTTTGGGAGAGAATTTTCGCTTACGCTCTTGATTTTGATTTTTGGCTGGTGTGGGCTAATTTTGTTATCGAACGCAACTATTAACTTTTCAACCAGACAGCTGGTTACTTTGACAGCGTTCCAAGCCGCCATTTGGCCAAACAAGTTTTCAAAGTAAATTACTTTAAGCGCAAATCAAACCTGCATTGGGCCAGGCCTTAAAAGTAAAAGAATCAACATTGAAACGCGTCAAAATTAAAATAAGGGAGCACAAATTTCGATGTGAAGCAAAACTCTCTGGGAAGACAATACCTTTAATAATTATACAATGGCGAAAAACTACTTTTCCTGTAACTACTTCCCCTGTAACTACTTCCATTTTTTTAAATGAAATTTTTCTTCCTGTAAGGTCGGTGTTATGCCAAATTAAATGGCGGCTGCTTAGTTTGCTCGGAGGTGGTTATGTCGAGTTTGGCACAGGGTTACACGTTGATTATGGTTTTCATGGCTATTGCCAACTCGAAATGAGAATTTCAGATGTACATAACGAGCACAATTAATATATTTTTTATGATATCGTATAGGCAATTAACTGTGCCCTAACCTTTGAAGCTCTTATTCATAAAAAATAAAAAATTTTTAAAGCTTTTTGAATTACCGTTTGCAAACATTTTTCAATTTATTAACCTTTTTAAAGCTACTTTATTTTTTATGAATAAATCTATTAGAATTTAGCACAATTAAAATACGTTCCCTATCGAAAAATTTATTATTAAGAAAATTGGCTGTTCTCACATTTTCTTTCAACATCCAATTCGACTTTGTTTACTTTTAGTACAGATACGTCAGCGCTGCCAGGACGGCACAATCTTGTATTCTATCTTTCTTGTCAAATATGCATTTAGATCTAACTGTCATACTACTATTAATGGTAACCATGAATATTCATTAAAATTGTTTCAATTCGTAATAAAAGTAGTTTACATACTTCTAGTCTAAATATATTTTTTAATGTAAACTAGCTTTTTTAATTCTAAAATAAATCAACAATCTCAAGATTTATAAAAAATTTGTCTTCAAAAATTACGTTTCAAAGCATCCCTATTGATATCATAATTCAAATGCAAATTTATCATCTTACTTGTCCGTATGTCGCTCTGGAAGGAAATAAATTTTAATTTATATGTGTTCTTAAAAATAAATGCAAATTTATCTATTTTTTCCACCGGCAGGCGCGAATATGGTATTCAAAACAGAAGCAGAAGTTGTATTCACAAAACGATAAGTTTAACAAGTATTTTAAATTATTGCCTGGAACATACACAANTTTTCTAAAGATTCTGGTTAAATAGTTTGAAATTTTGGTGAAAATTTGCAGAATTTTTATAATTTTTGTACAAATTTGAAAATGTAAATTTATATGGTGTTTGNCATGCATTTTTAATTTCTTATTTAATCGATTCAAATGAATAAAAACACATCTTTCTAAAATATTTCTCAATTTACATTTTAAAGATTTTTTCTGAAACTTGAAGTAACTCTGTGCCGAGAATGAGAGATTTATAAATCAGGTGATCTCNTTTTCTAAAGATTCTGGTTAAATAGTTTGAAATTTTGGTGAAAATTTGCAGAATTTTTATAATTTTTGTACAAATTTGAAAATGTAAATTTATATGGTGTTTGTTGTATTACCAGCTAGGCGTTTACAAAAAAATACGAAACATTAAATAAACTAAAGACAAATAGCCATAACACNTGTAAACAAACAAAATGGCGCTTTCCATACTTGTAAGCCTATACAATGTACAAAACGCTTTCAATTAAAACATTTGCCTATTTGAAAATTTGAGGCACTTAAACCAAGTGAAGAAAAGCTGCCATTCGGCCAGCCTTTATACGTTTTAGTCATGATAAAAACATAACCAGGTAAAGCCATTGAGAGGCAGTCTGACGTTTGCCAACGCGCGATTTTTTATTAAAAATTTTCATTATTTATTGAAGTATCGATTTTATAATAAAAAGCCCAGCAGGCGAAAATTTTGAATCAATAACGAAAATGATATGGTTTATAGTTGTATTTTATAGCTTCGAGAAGTATGGCAGCACACAGTTGCCCTTACTGTCGGCCATTGTTATTTCTGTTTGTTTGTGAAAAGTGGTAAAACGAGTGAACGGATTTATAAACGCGTTTTACTTAATTAATTGATGAAATATATATATATATATATATATATA